AATTAGGTCTCATTTAAATATTCATGGAGATCTACTGGTCACTATTCCTAACAACTTCCAAAACACATATAATATCATCGTATAAATATAAAAAGGCTAAAAATAATGGAAGTCTTATTAATAAAAAAAAAAAATACCAACACTCAATAATATCAACTATGAACATAGACAGAATATCTTGACCGTGTTCTGAAAATGAAAACCTTACACAATTACATATATACAACAATGTATTTCTTGTTAACAAATTAATATATTCAACCATGAAACTGGCTAAGTGCATAGCAGAAAGCGCTCGGAATGAAAGAACAATTGGACCGTTTTTAGATAACTTATACCCCGAAAAGAAAAAAATTATAAGATCACCATGAGAAACTGTATAAAAAAACTAAATCAAAGCACCTTGTCTGTCGTATTCAATGAAACGTCACACACACACACACACACACACATATATATATATTCTTATCTCAAATATAACTTAAAAATTTTGTTTTGCAAGGAATAATCAAATCATTCATGATAAAAAAAAAAAATAAAAAAAAGATGAAAACTAGAAACAAATGAAAGTCTGCTGACAAAAAAAATCGCACAGATACAGGTACAAAGCCCAAAGAAAAAACCCCGATACGAGTAAACAACTAACTAACAAAAGAGATCAATACAACCGTAGAGCAGACCTAGATACACCTAGGAGCCAGGCAAACCTACCTAGGTTTCACCTATTTTTTTATTGTTTAATATACGATATTATAAAACCTGGATATATATATATATATATATATATATATATATATATAAAACTATTGAGCCAGACAAACCTATCCCAGGTTTCGAAACTCTGATCGTTGAGACCCCTGACCAAACGTCCTAAATTTAAAGAGGCAATGGAAAAAGTTATTTATTTATTAGGCGAAATGAAAAAATCAAACACTTGTAGCCAAAAGAAAAGAAAACAAAAAAAACACAAGAACACGGGGGTAAAGATTTATTCAACGAATAAATGTGCTTAGAGCTATCTTAAGGCTGTTTAGAGCTATGATCGCCTGTATCACGATACGCTAAAGGACAATGCAATCTTCACATTTTCTGTCCAATTATTTGCTTGGTAATTTGTATATATATATTGTATATATATATATATCTCATTAGACAATCGTGCTTTTAATTCAATAGGTTTTACCTGAATTATATACTGTCATTCAGGAAAGTGTTTGTTAAACATCTGATCTATCTATATCTTTATCTATATATATATATTATATATATATATATATATATATATATATATATATATATTATCGTTTGTAAGTAAAAAGCTAAGGCTTAAGATAATTTAAAAATCTTAACGCGTATACAAAATATTGAAAAATCAAGTCTTCCAAATTAGACAGAGTTTTTATTTTGACACAACAATTCTTAAATATTAAAATCCATTTCATGCAACAATAATTAAACTAATTAAATTAAATTAATGTGGGACTCTTTTACAGCTTTTATTTTTACATTGATTTTTAAATTTAGCAGATTTTTTTTTACTAAAGTTTTTGATAATATTTTACACACACACACACAGATATATACAGAGGCCTTTCTTCAGATTATCATTTTCAATAAATATACACTTTTTTTTTTCATACTCACTCCCTCCTAATGATAAAAATGATAACACACACCCACAACAATCACACACTGCTTACACATATCTTCGACATTTTTTTCACTTTTTTAAGAACCAAATAACACACACACTTTAACAGATCGTTCTTCCCTCTCCAGAACCAATAAAACTGTCAAACTGACCAAGGGAATTCAGAGAAGCATAGATCCATTCAGTTCTTATCTCAAATAACAACTTAAAAGACTTTTTGTTTGACCAACACAAGGAATGTTAAAAGATTCATGTTAAAAGATAAAAAAATAAAAAACAAATGAAAACTACAGACAAAAGTCTTTTTTTCCCCAGCAAGACATTCATTTCTGTAGTTTACTGCTACCAGCAAGCAGAAATATTTCTTCTCCTGATGATGGCCATTTTGGCCGAAACTCATCGAGGAATCTAAATGAAATAATAATAAAAAAAAAACGAAAGAATATTAATCTACAACCCAATTGTGTCTGAAGATTTTAATTTTTAATATTTTTTTTATTCTTTTAATATATATATATATATATATATATATATATATATATATATATATATATATATATATATATAAAAGGCAAATTTGCGAACTGCACAGTATCGCGACTGACGATTGCGAAACTCTGCCTAATTGAGACCCTGACCAAACGTCCTAAATTTCAAGTTGCTCTCGATGGTCCAGAAAATGTTCATTTATTTATTCATTGATATAGAAATGAAAAAAGTGAAACGACTTGTAGCCTACCTATCGAGCTAGTTTAAAAGAATGGCAGAACACGGAATCGGTGAGATACTAGTAGAATAAATATTGCTTAGAGCTATGAAAGATAGAAGGCTGTGGAGAGCTATGATCGCCTGCATCTCATTTACTACATAAAAGACATATGCAATCTTCACATTAAGGATCTCTCCAACCCAATTATTTGCTTGGTAATTTGTAATTTTGCATTGTCTAGTATGCTCTCTGACTTCTCATTAGACAATCGTGCTTTTAATTCAATAGATTTTTACCTGAATTATATACTGTCATTCGAGTAAACAGTATAAACATCTGATCTGCTCTTTAACTTTATGGCGTAATTTCAATGATTGTAGTATTTTTCATTCTTTTCTTTTTCTATTTTACCAATTATTGTCGTTTGTTAGGGCAGTAAAATAATCGATTTATCACGGGATTTCTCATCTGGACGCGTTCATTACTCTCTGGAAAATCGTGTCTTCCAGATTATTGTTGGAGTTTTTCTTTTTTGACACATCTTTGTCAGTAAAACCAAATCATGTCAGTCTCAGAGGAATACACAAACAGAACAGACAATTAGGGCCTGCCAATGTATTTGGCTGTTTTGCTTGCTTTTTATTAATCATTTATTTTTTTAAATTTCAAGGTTCTTTTTTTTTTTTCTTTTTTTTCTTTTTATTGATCTGTTTATCTTTAACGGTGGAAATATAAATGATGTACTTTTCTTCAGATTATCATTTTCAATAAAAAAAAATCTTTTTTTTTTTTCTTCAAACGTCGTTCATAAAAATTTTATTTTATTTCTTGTTGTCTCATTTGCTGCTTTCCTTCTTCGACATTTTTTTTTCCGTTTTTTAAGTTATTTGTCTTCCGTCTTTCATTTTATCGTTCTTTTTTATTTCTTACAAAATCACAGTTCTTTTTTTTTTTATTTTGCCTTCTTTTTTCTGGTTTTCTTTCTTTTCTCTTGATTTCTCTTTGCCTTGTTTCATTCTTTTATTTTATTACCTTTCATCGCCTTTTTTCTTTCTTTCTTTATTTTCTTTTTTTCTTTCTTTTTTTTTTTCTTTCTTTCTTACTTTTTCCCTTTCTTTCTCTTTTCTTTTCTTTCTTTCTTTCTTTCTTTCATTCTTTCTTTCTTATCCTTTCTTTTCCTTTCTTTCTTCCTTTCTTTTCTTTCTTTCTTTCTTTCTTTTTCTTCCTTTCTTTCTTTCTTATCTTCCTTTCTTTCTTTCTTTCTTTCTTTCTTTCTTATCGCCTTTCTTTCTTTCTTTCTTTCTTTCTTATCGCCTTTCTTTCTTTCTTTCTTATCGCCTTTCTTTCTTTCTTTCTTTCTTTCTTATCGCCTTTCTTTCTTTCTTTCTTTCTTTCTTTCTTTCTTATCGCCTTTCTTTCTTTCTTTCTTTTCTTTCTTTCTTTCTTTCTTTCTTATCGCCTTTCTTTCTTTCTTTCTTTCTTATCGCCTTTCTTTCTTTCTTTCTTTCTTTCTTATCGCCTTTCTTTCTTTCTTTCTTATCGCCTTTCTTTCTTTCTTATCGCCTTTCTTTCTTTCTTTCTTTCTTATCGCCTTTCTTTCTTTCTTTCTTTCTTATCGCCTTTCTTTCTTTCTTTCTTTCTTTCTTTCTTATCGCCTTTCTTTCTTTCTTTCTTATCGCCTTTCTTTTTCTTTCTTTTCTTTCTTTCTTTCTTTCGCTCTTTCTTTCTTTCTTTCTTTTATCGCCTTTCTTTCTTTTCTTTTTCTTTCTTATCGCCTTTCTTTTTCTTTTTCTTTCTTTCTTTCTTTCTTATCGCCTTTCTTTCTTTTCTTTCTTATCGCCTTTCTTTCTTTCTTTCTTATCGCCTTTCTTTCTTTCTTTCTTTCGCCTTTCTTATCTTTCTTTCTTTTTCTTTCTTTCTTTCTTTCTCTTTCTTTCTTTCGTTCTTCTTTCCTTTTTTTTTCGTTCTTTCTTTCTTTCCTTTCTTTTTTCTTTCTTTCTTTCTTATCGCCCTTTCTTTCTTTCTTTCTTTTATCTTTCTTTCTTTCTTTCTTTCTTTCTTTCTTATCGCCTTTCTTTCTTTCTTTCTTTCTTTCTTTCTTTCTTTCTTTCTTTCTTACTTATCGCCTTTCTTTCTTTCTTTCATCCTTTTCTTCCTTCTTTCTAATAGACTTTCTTTCGAATAGTCATCCTTTCCTTTTTTCGTTTTACTTTTTTTCTTGTAGTTTTTCTTGTAGTTTTTGTTTCTTTTTCTGACCAATCTTCTCCTCCATTCTTTCTTTCTGATCAGCCTTCTTTCTTAACGTCTTTCTTTCTTTCCATTTTCACCCTTTCTTTCATTCTTTCGTTCTTTCTTTTCTAATAGTCTTTTGTTCTAATAGTCTTTCATTTTGTCTTTCTTTCTTTATTTATTTATTTATTTATTATAGTCATTCTTTTTGCAACATTTCTTTCCTCCATTCTTTCTTTCTGATCACAGTTCTTTTCTTTCTTTCTTTCTTTTTTCTTACTTTCTTCTGATTACCGTTATTTCTCATTGCCTTTTTCATTCATTCTTTCATTCTTACTAACTTTCTTTTTTCTTTTCCTTTATTTTTCTTACTTTCTTATCGCTACCCTTTCTTTCTTATAACCTTTTTCCATGCTTTTTCTTACTGCTTTTCTTTGCTATCGTTCTTTCTTTCATTCTTCCTTCCTTCCTTCCTTCCTTCCTTTCTTTCTTTCTTTCTTTCTTTCTTTCTTCCTTCCTTTCTTTCTTTCTTCCTTTCTTTCTTTCTTTCTTTCTTCTCTGAACTTTCTTTCACCTTCTCATTCTTCCTTTCTTCCAGTTCTTTTCTTTTTATTCTCTTCCTTCTTATCTACTTTCTTTCTTTCCTTCTTTTCCTTCTGTCCCTTCTTTCTTTCTTTCCTTCTTTCTTTTATTATACTCCTTCATTTTCTTTATTCACGTCTTTCTTTCTTTCTTTCTTTCTTTCTTTCTTATAGGCTTTCTTTTTTGTAACGTTTCTGATCATGCTTCCTTTCTGATCACTTTTCATTCTTCCTTTCACCCTTTCTTTCTTTCCTTTTTTCTTTCTTTCTTTCTTTCTTTCTTTCTTTCTTTCTTTCTTATAGTTTTTCTTTCTTTTTGTGACCCCCTTCTTTACTACATTCTCTCTTTCTGGTCATTCTACTTTTTTCCTTTCACTCTTTGCTGCTGCTGCTTCTTCTTCTTCACACTTTGCTGCTGCTGCTGCTGCTGCTGCTGCTGCTTCTTCTTCTTCTTCTTCTTCTTCTTCTTCTTCTTGTGTGCCGTGTCTCCGTTCCACCACCTCCTCAGGTGACCCACTGCCCCCGTCTCCTTCTTACACTTAAAATACCCTGTGAACATTAAGTCTCATTCCTAATTAGATGTCCAAGAAATGTCAGTTGTCTTTTTTTCTGATTCTGAGTATAAATGTTCTTTTTGTTGCCATTTTTAACACTTTCTAGTTGCTTACTCACTGCGTTAATGGAATTCTCAGTATCCTTCTGTAGAGCCACGTGTCTGTTGCCTCCAGTTTTCTCGTCATCTGCGGAAAGTCAATATCAATAATTTTTCGCTAATCCGATGCTTGTTCGGATTTCGGAGCCACATTTACCATCCTCTATTATATTAGAAAGATTTTTCAGATTTTTAAAATTGACACGATCATATCACGTTGAAACACCGGTTCTCGTACGATGACCGAAGTCAAGCAACGTCGAGCATGGCCAGTACATAGATGGGTGACCGCTTCAGAGTACCAAGTGCTGTAAACTTGAATCTGTTATTCGTCAGGCTTACGGCCATATTGCGTTGATACACCGGTTCTGTACGATCACCGCAGTTAAGCAACACCGAGCCTGGTCAGTACATAGATAGGTAACCGCTTGGGAATTCCAGCTGCTGTAAGCTTTGATCTGCTATTGGTATGTTTTAGCGCCATATAACGTTGAAAGACTGGTCCCCTTAAGATCACCGAAGGCAAGAAACGTCGAGCACGGTCAGTACCCAGATGGGTAACAGTTAGGGAGTACCAGGTGCTATAAGCTTGAATGTGCTGTTGTTGTGTTTTACAACCATATTACACTGAAATACCGGTTCTCGTACGATCACAGAAGTTAAGCAACGTCGAGCCAGGTCGGTACCTACATGGATAACCGCTTGGGAATACCAAGTGCTGTAAGGTTAGGTGTGCTGTAAGCTTGGGTGTGCTGTTGGTATGGTATGGCCTACGACCATCTCACAAGGAAAAACCGGTTCCCGTACGATCACGGAAGTTAAGCAACGGTGAGCCTGATCAGTACCTAGATGGATGACCGTTTGAGAATACCAGGTCCTATAAGCTTGAACGTGCTGTTGTTATGGCTTACGGCCATATTACGTTGAAATACCGGTTCTCGTATGATCACAGAAGTTAAGAAATATCGAGCCTGGCCAGTACTTACATGGATAACCGGGAATATCAGGTGCTCCAAGCTTGGATGTGCGTGAGGCGTAAAATGATAACGACTTCGAATTGTAAATCGTGGAGCCGAGTTCACATCATAATCGGGTTCGTTATATTTACTTACGTGCAAATACTCTTGGAAAGATATGAATCCAACTCTTACCCCCCATCTATGGGTTAAATAGTAGGCCTTGCATCAGTGAATCATCATTATCACCAAAAAACTTCTTACGATCTGAGAAGTATTTCCTGGCTTTCAATGGCCGGTAAATGGTTGATAGGCCATAAAAAAGCAATTAATCAATAAATCCAGATTTTTAGAAAATTTTATTTGTTTGCTGTTGACATCTTCAGTTTATCTTGCCATGCATACCGTCTCTAAAGAGTAGATGATTAGTTCTTTTTGCCGAGCTTTTTTTTAACTATTTCATCCCAAGCAAGGCGGCAGTGCCACTAGGACGCAAGGGGTTACAGACAATGGGAGCCAGAGTAAAGAGGCGTGATAGAGGAAAGGATGAAGAGAAGGACGAAGAATAGATCAAGGTATCTGAAGATGTCGACTGACATTGCATTTGAATATTTGGAGATTATACCTATCAGGAAAGCAAGTAAGAGGAAGGGAATTCCACAGACGGGAAGCGCGGGACATGAAGCTATTGGAGTAGAAGAGACGGCTACATTTAACCGTTTTGACGCTGAAAGGGTGGGACCGAGATGCCAGCCTAGTAGCACGCTTAAATTCAAGCAGTTTGGAAACCAGCGAAAGTAGCTTGTCGGAGAAGTTACCGTGGAAGTATTTGTAGAAAAGACAGAGGGAAGAAACGGCACGTCTGTGAGGGAGCGACTGTAAACGCGATGACAGATCAGGGCCAATCACATTTCGGATAATAGGAACTGCTTATTACATTATTTACATTATTTGGACTATTGTCCTCATCTTTGTCGCCATATTTATCCCAACGTTTCGGGCGTTGTACGCTCCGGCTTTCTTCAGGTGGTTGGAATTTCGAACTGAACCCTTTATTTCGCTCACTGGGGTAGACTGTTCTAGTTCCACGTGCCATGTTTGATGGATGTCAGTTATCAGTTATCTCCTGTTAATTTTCTCCTCTGAAAGTTCTCCACTGCCTTAACCGGGTATTGAACTCACACTCTTTGGACACATGGCACAGTGGATAAAGGCGTTGGTTAGATCCAGTGACAGGACCCAAAGAGTGTGAGAAGCTCGGCCGTCAAGCCGAGAAGCTCGGCTCGATTAGCTGCGAGATTGATTCATAGCTTTCTCAAGGTTATTGGTTCGAACTCGACTAGAATTCGAATACACCCCCTCCCCCAATTCCTAGATTCCGAAACGATATCCATCGCACTATAGGTTTCCAAATGATAAATCCTCCTATGGTCTTTCTGATATCGTATCTCTCAAGAACTATTGTTTAATTGGTCGAAGACATCTACTTAGATTTTACACCCCCTCCCAATTCAAGAGGCGGGATAAATGATTTCTTGTTGTTGATTCATATCAATACAGCTAAGAATTTTTAAAATAAATGTGTCAAACATCATAATGCACTCTAACGATTATGTATTTGGCAAACTTACCGAAAAGAAAACGAATTGTCAAAAAGACTATATTTCCAATGACACCGCCATTATTTTAACTGCCTTCACTCCTCGGCAATGTTTATTCTTTTAAAAAGCGAAAAAAAACTTTCAATGATGAAAGTGAATTTATATATTTTTTGTTCTTGAGTATTTACAACGAAAATATTAATCATAATAATTAAGTATTTATAATGATTCACTTGAATCTGTCTCAGGATTTGAATTATTATATATAAAGCTAATTTATCCATGCTGTTCAAAAAATCGTTCTTCTACGTGTTGTGTCTTCTTAAAGATGTCGACCACAGACATCTGCTTTAATTGTCTGTGGTAACAGCTAAGCGACACCAGCTCCAATCGAAATCCCCATTCAATCCGAAACGCATTCAATGTTCTTTAATCTCTTTTTATATAATAAAAATACTTCGTAATATCAGTCCTCCTATATGACAGTGAATGCTGGACAATCTCTTCGCAGATGAAGAAGAGACTTGAAGCAAGAAAAACAAAGAAAAGAGTAATGAACCGTTACGTAACATCAGTTCTATATGGTAGTGAATGTTCGACAATGTCCTCACAGATGAAAGAGAGACTTGAAACAAAGGAAACAAAGAAAAGTGCACTGTACTGTTATGTAATATCAGTCTACCTATATGGCAGTGAATGCTGGACAATCTCTTCGCAGATGAAGAAGAGACTTGAAGCAAGAAAAACAAAGAAAAGAGTAATGAACCGTTACGTAACATCAGTTCTATATGGTAGTGAATGTTCGACAATGTCCTCACAGATGAAGAGACTTGAAACAAGGGAAACAAAGAAAAGTGCACTGTACTGTTATGTAATATCAGTCTACCTATATGGCAGTGAATGCTGGACAATCTCTTCGCAGATGAAGAAGAGACTTGAAGCAAGAAAAAACAAAGAAAAGAGTAATGAACCGTTACGTAACATCAGTTCTATATGGTAGTGAATGTTCGACAATGTCCTCACAGATGAAAGAGAGACTTGAAACAAGGGAAACAAAGAAAAGTGCACTGTACTGTTATGTAATATCAGTCTACCTATATGGCAGTGAATGCTGGACAATCTCTTCGCAGATGAAGAAGAGACTTGAAGCAAGAAAAACAAAGAAAAGAGTAATGAACCGTTACGTAACATCAGTTCTATATGGTAGTGAATGTTCGACAATGTCCTCACAGATGAAAGAGAGACTTGAAACAAGGGAAACAAAGAAAAAGTGCACTGTACTGTTATGTAATATCAGTCTACCTATATGGCAGTGAATGCTGGACAATCTCTTCGCAGATGAAGAAGAGACTTGAAGCAAGAAAAACAAAGAAAAGAGTAATGAACCGTTACGTAACATCAGTTCTATATGGTAGTGAATGTTCGACAATGTCCTCACAGATGAAAGAGAGACTTGAAACAAGGGAAACAAAGAAAAGTGCACTGTACTGTTATGTAATATCAGTCTACCTATATGGCAGTGAATGCTGGGCAATCTCCTCGCGGATGAAGAAGAGACTTGAAGCAAGAGAAACAAAGAAAAGTGCACTGTACTGTTATGCAATATCAGTTTACCTATATTGCAGTGAGTGCTGGTCAATCTCCTCGCGGATGAAGAAGAGACTTGAAGCAAGAGAAACAAAGAAAAGTGCACTGTACTGTTATGCAATATCAGTTTACCTATATTGCAGTGAGTGCTGGTCAATCTCCTCGCGGATGAAGAAGAGACTTGAAGCAAGAGAAACAAAGAAAAGTGCACTGTACTGTTATGCAATATCAGTCTACCTATATTGCAGTGAGTGCTGGTCAATCTCCTCGCGGATGAAGAAGAGACTTGAAGCAAGAGAAACAAAGAAAAAGTGCACTGTACTGTTATGCAATATCAGTTTACCTATATTGCAGTGAGTGCTGGTCAATCTCCTCGCGGATGAAGAAGAGACTTGAAGCAAGAGAAACAAAGAAAAGTGCACTGTACTGTTATGCAATATCAGTCTACCTATATTGCAGTGAGTGCTGGTCAATCTCCTCGCGGATGAAGAAGAGACTTGAAGCAAGAGAAACAAAGAAAAGTGCACTGTACTGTTATGCAATATCAGTCTACCTATATTGCAGTGAGTGCTGGTCAATCTCCTCGCGGATGAAGAAGAGACTTGAAGCAAGAGAAACAAAGAAAAGTGCACTGTACTGTTATGCAATATCAGTCTACCTATATTGCAGTGAGTGCTGGTCAATCTCCTCGCGGATGAAGAAGAGACTTGAAGCAAGAGAAACAAAGAAAAGTGCACTGTACTGTTATGCAATATCAGTCTACCTATATTGCAGTGAGTGCTGGTCAATCTCCTCGCGGATGAAGAAGAGACTTGAAGCAAGAGAAACAAAGAAAAGTGCACTGTACTGTTATGCAATATCAGTCTACCTATATTGCAGTGAGTGCTGGACAATCTCCTCGCGGATGAAGAGACTTGAAGCAAGAGAAACAAAAAAAAGTGTATTAACTCTTACCTAATATCATTCTTCCTACACGGCTGTGAATGCTGGACAATCTCTGCATAGATGAAGAAGAGACTTGAAGCTATAGAAATGTGCTTCTACTGAAATATACTGACGATAACATGGATCGAATATGGGAGCAACGGCGAAGTTTTAGGAAAAAAGAAAACAAAAAGGAAACTTATACCAAACATTTGGAAGAGACACTTTAAATTTATAGGGGCACATAATGGGGAAAGACGGCTTGGAAAATTTGATAACTCACAGGACAGTTTGAACGCCAGAGAAGCAGAGGAAATGGACAACATAGTGAGTTTGAGTAAATGAATGGCGGGAGAATTCTTAGGAGAAATAACCAAAAGACAAAATTTATTAAGATCTACGAAGGACAGGAAATTGCGGAGTGATGTTCGGCTATATCCTGAAGAGTAACGGCACATAAAAAAGAATAACAGATAAGCGACATCAGTTCTAATTCAGCGTTTTTTGGGTTTTTTTTTTTTATAGAATACTAGTTTAAAAGTTGCACTATCGGGCGGCATTTAAGCTGGCTCCTTCGGAATGCTCTTGATGAGGGCCATCATCACAATAGTTAGAGAAGAGTGGATGCAATAGGAAGCAATAAACGATAGAAGATCTCAAAATTGATGGCTGCATTTAAGTATTGCATTAATATTTAAGCTTAGCTTTCAAAAGCTCAACGATAATTCTTCTTTTAAAGACAATTTCATGTACGTAGGTCCTTACTTTCCGTACAAACAATTATTTTAATTCCATGAGTGACTTTCGCTGGATTTAATTCAGATTATTCCCAAATCTGTTTACCAGTTATAAAAACTGTTAACGTAAAAAAAATATCGTCACAAAAATTCACGTAAAAAAATTGCCGAAAACAATCGCAGTTATGAAAATTTAGGCGTCCAAAAATTTTTGGATTGCGGATCCGGATCCGCCCGGAATGTTTTTAATTTGGTTACGGAGTCGACCTGTGAAAAAAAAATGTGATATAGTGACACACTGACATTGACATTTATTATATAGAAGAAAGAGAAGTTGTGTCCCTTTAATTGAAAAAGTGTGACACACTGACATCGGCATTTATTATATAGAAGAAAGCGAAGTTGTGTTCCTTTAATTGAAAAAGTGTGACACACTGACATTGGCATTTATTATATAGAAGAGAAGAAAATTGTGTCCCTTTAATTGAAAAAGTGTGACACACTGACATTGGCATTTATTATATAAAAGAGAAGAAAATTGTGTCCCTTTAATTGAAAAAGTGTGACACACTGACATTAGCATTCATTATATAGAAGAAAGAAAAGTTGTGTCCCTTTAATTGAAAAAGTGTGACACACTGACATTGGCATTTGTTATATAGAAGAAAGAAAAGTTGTGTCCCTTTAATTGAAAATGTGTGACACACTGACATTGGCATTTATTATATAGAAAAAAGAAAAGTTGTGTCCCTTTAATTGAAAATGTGTGACACACTGACATTGGCATTTATTATATAGAAGAAAGAAAAGTTGTGTCCCTTTAATTGAAAAAGTGTGATACACTCACATTGGCATTTATTATATCGATGTGAACAGAACACACACTAAGGGAGTCTCTCTTAATACAACGACAACGGGAACAAAGCCTCACATGAATTCCTGACGTCGGCCATAAGACTGACTGGGACGTCTGGTGTACAGTCGGCTCGGTTCGACTTCTTCAGTGATAATGGTACAGATCAAGTGTGATGCAGAAATTTTAGGATCATGGCGACCAGTTGTCAAGATGACACTAAGCAAGGTGGGGATAGCTTTTTTGGATACATATCTTCTGCCATGTGCCGAGCCCATTTGGGACGTGTACGATCATGGTTCTCCTCAACTTTTTGTCCCTTGTACCTCTTGGCAGTGATTGTCTTTTTACTATCTACCTGTTCTGCCAACAATTTTCTTCTACCTTCAATATGTCCTGTGAGTGTTAAATTTTCCAAGCCGTCTTTTTATTATGGGCACTAGAAATTTAAACTGTCTTTTTCTGATTCTAAGTGTCCTTTTTGTTTCTATTTTCCTCTAAAAATTAGATTTATTTTTTGTTAGTCACATATTAAGTCCATGGTATTCCCAGCATCGTTCTGTAGAAGCACATTTCTGTTGCTTAAAGTTTATTGATCGGTGAGGTGATTGTCAAGCATCTACTGAAATATACAGGATATTGCATATCATCTAAGGAATTTTTTCTATTCCTTAATTCTTTCTATGATTTTTGAAAGTCATCTTTCGTTATTCCAACAACAAATTCAGATTTCCATAACTCATTCCCTGTAATCTATTAAATCACGACCCGAATATTTAAATTTTTGTACTTGCTTGATTCTGATGTCTCAAATTCACAGTTCTCATCTTGGCATGTTCCCCGCCACCAAAAAAAAACATAAAAAATGACCTCTATACATGGATGGTGGGTGTGCGAAAATAGGTATACAGTAATTAAAGACATATATTAATTATACCAATATATCAATAAATACCAGCATAGCCCGGCGTTGCCCGTGCTTGATTCAAAAATCGTACGACTCATACAGCAATCGCTATCACTTGACTTAAAATATTTTTGCCCTTCCTTGCCTTTAAAGGAGTGCCCTTTGCCGTGCTGATGTTGCTACATGCCTTATTTCTTGCCTATCTCACACTGAGAATTTTTTCTAAGCTCTATACTAAACATTAAATCTGTTACGAAAAAATAACTAAACAAAATGAACACAAAACGATCAGCTTTAAAAAAGGCCTCGTAACTGGAAAAACCGAATGAAAAAAGAATGTTAACAACAAATACTTTTTCACACCCAACCCTGTTCTGCGGAATCAGAATCAACGTTGAATGAGCCAATTGGAGTAAATTGCCATGCAGATTCAAATATTTCCCACTGGTGACGAATGCAGCTATCGATTTCTTTTGCATGCTTGTCAGTCAGCTGTTGGCTCTCACGCTGGCCAATAGAATCTCCCTGCCTATTCGTGGCAGCCAGCTATTGGCTCTCACTCTGGCCAATAGAATCTTCCTGTCTATTCGTGGCAGCCAGCTATCGACTCTCACGCTGGCCAATAGAATATTCCTGCCTATTCGTGGCAGCCAGCTATTGACTCTCAGTCTTGCCAGTAGAAAATGGCCGCAAACTACATGGAAACTGCTGTAGGAGCATAAAAAAATCGATTATTTCCACTATCGCTAAGAGTTGGGAAATGCAAAGTCGGTCTTGGCCTTCTCACTAACTTGGAGCATGTGCATGTAAATTTTGGTGCAAATCCGTCGAAAATTGCGGCCGTGCATTCGTTACACACACACATCCTGCCTTTTAGAGATAGAGATAATGTCTTCCAGTATTATTTCAAAATCAATTTGCACATCCCTTTCGTTAAATTACCAGCCATAAAAAATAAAAAAATTCAAGAAATGTATTATAATAAATTTATCTAAATAAAAAGATTAAAAATGATTTTAATGAATTAAATAAATTCTAGTATTAAATGAATCCTAGAACGACTATTACAATACTGGTAATACCGGTATAATACTTACTGTATACCTACTTTTGCAGCACCTGTATATATATATATATATATATATATATATATATAATTATTTATTTAAAAATATGATTCCAAATCGCGACATAAGAAGTCCCATGTTTCAAAACAACAGCCGAAAACTTCAATATAATTATTTAAATTAAATCTACTTTTGTATCGAGCACTATTTTAAAAAAATAATAACTAAAATACTAAGGGACTTTGGATTATTTACCTAACCAGTTCCTTCCTATTTTCTATATATTTTCACATATTATATATATATATATATATATATATATATATATATATATATAAGTTCGAATTTTAGTCGAATCCATTGCATTCACTTACGAGCTAATACCCTTGCTGAATCAAAGGAAAAGTACGATTCCTTTTCTTCTTCCCCAGCTATATATATATATATATGTATATGTGTGTATTATGTTTGCACTAATCGAATCTTGCTATATAAAAAAAAAAATAACGCACTAATCTAAAACGCGTTAATCGAATGCACATTACATAAACTGAGGCATGCCTGTACACACACACACAGACACACAGACACACACACACATACACACATATATATGTTAAGAAATGGACAAGGTCCGACAATTTATTTATTAAAGACATTTTTATGTTTAACGTTGTTATTTTATAGATACAAGTATTTAAGCAAATGCTCTGTTTATGATAAACAGTATTAAATATCATTTACCGGCCTGAATGTCCGAGAAATTTTCATAGAAAATATTCGATTGGTTCTTTGTAGCCTAGAGGTAAGGCACGTCAGCGTATATGACGGTTCCGTATAGGATGCAGGTTTATCCTGTCAAAAAGAGCACTTAAATATCTATAAAATAACAACGTTAAACATAAAATGTCTCTAATACATATATATATATATATATATATATAGTGCAACCTCTGTTCTCGAACGACTCACGTGTCGAACAAATCGGATTTCGAACAGAATATTCGAGACGAAAATACCTCGGTTATCGAACAAAATTTCGGTTCTCGAACAGCATAGCCGAACCGAGCCGAACCAAGTTAACCCGAACGGAATCATTTCTTTGTCGACCGCCATGTTGTATACATTCGTGTGTTGTGCTGTGTTTTTCTTTTCTAATTTTATTCTGCTGTGTCCTTTATTTTTTTCTCTTCATTTAGTCCTCAGTCATGGCCCCAAAGAAATCTAGCAGTGATACTAGTAAAGGAAAAAGAAAAGAGAAAAACAATTGTTGATAATATTGTCTCTTCCTATTCAGTTTCATATGGCAAAATCAACAATCTATACTATTCTTATAAATAAAGAGACGATCATGTCTTTCCTTCCCTTTTCCAAACAATAACATTTCTTTCCTTCCCCTTCCACTTACGCCATCATCTCTCCTACATGCAGGTACGGTAAAATTGAAGTGTTCGTCTATATTTTATCTGTTTACTATTGGGTTTGCGGTTTGTTTTTTTTTTGTTTTTTGTTTTTGTTAGATTTAATGATTTTCATTAGTTTTGTGTATAAATTTGAGCACGTTTAAATAAGCAATCTTCTTGGGACCAGAAGCGGATTAATCCATTTTACATTGATTACTATTGGAAAAATAGTTTCGCTTTACGAATATTTCGGGTTACGAACGGGCTTCAGGAACGAATTAAATTCATGAACCGGGGTTTTACTGTATATATAATTATGACGAAGTGGGAAATGTTTTTGTGGGAAGCGTTATATCCTTTAGGAATTCATCGGAATAATTAGCCTGACTTCGAGTTGAATCATCACTGATGCTGGTTTGTATAAGGCGGTAAATAAGGTAAATCGTGAACCTCATTGGTGAAGTTGTAAATGTTTTACCGCCACTGCCCTTGCACACCCTGACTTCCAGGACTGTTTCAACTTCCATTTGCGCTACCAGTCCATTAAAATACCAGCCATCGTTAAATTAAAACTTTAGCTGCAAAGTATCTATTATTATTATTTATTAAAAAAAATAAAAATAATAATAAATATATTATAATAAAAATGATGAAAATAAAAATATGAATTTAATGAATTCTAGTATAAAATGAATCTTAGAACCACTATTATAGCTGTTGTCTCTTAGAAAAAGTTTCTGAATGAGGAATAACCAAAACGGGGGTTGGAAATGAAATGGTAATCTTTAGAACATCAACGAGGATTGGAAGATTCCCATAAGTGTTCATAGGTACGGTATATAACATTATCTATCTATCTATCTATCTATCTATCTATCTATCTATCTATCTATCGTAAACTAGAATAGATTACTGAATGAGGAATGACCAAAACGGAGGTCGGAAAGGAAATAGTAATCTTTATAACATCAACAAAATACAATACTCGCCAGCGGCGTCAAGTAGGTAAACCACTGCTTGTGGTGGACTACTTAGGCAGCATATACTCCCACAAACACTTACAATAGTCACCAACGTATTTATGAGGATTGGAAGATTCCCATAAGTGTTCATAGGCACGGTATATAACACTATCTATCTATCTATCTATCTATCTATCTATCTATCTATCTATCTATCGTAAACTAGAATGGATTACTGAATGTGGTATGACCAAAACGGAGGTTGGAAAAGAAATGGTAATCTTTATAACATCAACAAAATACAATACTCGCCAGCGGCGTGTAGTAGGTAAACCACTGCTAGTGGTGGACTACTTAGCATATTACCCCCACTTACAATAGTGTCCAACGTATTTATGAGGATTTTGACATAACCCTTAGTGTTCATAGGTACGCTATATAATACTATCTAAGACCCCTACATATCTATCTATCTATCTATCTATCTATCTATCTATCTATCTATCTATCTATCTATCTATGTCTGCTCATATGTATCTACCTATCTCAGTCTGTTCATATCTATCTATCTATCTATCTATCTATGCTCATATCTATCTATCTATCTATCTATCTATCTATCTATCTATTTCAGTTTGTTCATATCTATCTATCTATCTATCTATCTGTTGTAGCCTAGGAAGGGTTAATGAATGAGGAATAAACAAAACGAACGGAAGTTGGTAATGAAATGGTAATCTTTATAACATCAACAAGTATTGTAACTCGCCAGCGGCCTAAAATAGGTAAACTACTGCTAGCAGTGGACTACTTAGACAGCATATTAGCCTCACTAACAATAGTGTCCAACGTATTAATGAAGATTTAGACATGCCCATTATGTTCATAGGTACGGTATATAACAATAATACTGGTAAGACTTTTTTAATACTTACTGTATACCTACTTTTTGTTTTTAGATAATTTTGTAATTGCACTGGTTATATTTTCAGCGTAAGTAATGTAAGAAAAAATAACAATAAAATGTAATCTATTTCCTATGGGAAGAAAGAAAGTTAACACAAAAACAAAATGAATGAATCTATAAAAATAACGTATATATATATATATATATATATATATATATATAATAAAGTAGGTAATGGTCAGAGTTGAATTAGACCAGGAAACAGTAGTATTAAAAAGTACTCAATTCATATATAAAACGTAATAAATTTAACATGGTGCAGAAAATTAGGTAATTAGCCAATTTCGCCATCTTGGTTTCAACCTTTTGGTATCTTCAGGCAATCTCGGTCAATTGATTGCCTGACGCTTTATTTAAAAATAAAAAATAAAAAGTAATATTCTTGTCGTAATGACTTCCCGATCTTAGGCCGGTTGACATTAATTTCACTGTTAAAAAAGAAATGAAAGCAACGATATCGACTCAAATACGTATGCTCACAAAAGGGTAAGAAAGAAGTTTGCTTTTTAACTATTTAAAAAAAAACATTTATCCTAACAACGTTAACACAAACTAAAAGGGATAAAGAGTCTTGTCGATCTCTGGCCATTTGGCATTAATTTCACTCTTTAAAAAAAAAAGAAAGCAAGGATATCAACTGACAAAAAATAACGGTTACACTCATAAAAAAGAAGGTCGGATTAAAAAATCCATTTAAAATTGCTTTGTTTACGTTACGTGTTCGACAATAAATCTAGCAGATAATGACTTCAAGTGGTCCCAACAGGAAATATGAATTCTTTAAGCAGTTAAGCGAGCCTTTCTGTATCATGATGGCTTCCTACGGCTTAATTGTTGAGCGCATATTTGGACCAAAGCAGTGATTTCCTTCGAGCAAGAAAGGAATGCAGATTCGATTCTTGTTTCGTTTGTGTGTCGGGGGGGGTATTTTTCTTTTCCAAGGTTTTTTCGAACAAGAGAAATTAGCTATAATAACATTTCTAGTCCCCAAAAACTTTTAAACCAAAGATCGGAAATTATGTCCCGTTGTATTCAAGCGGTAAGCTTCCTTTTGGTATAATTTGAAGAGGGATAAAAAGGACTTATGTATATTTCATTTATTTCTCCGACCGACACATTTCCACTGCACTTGATTTTCCCCCTCCTCCTCCTTCTCATCACCTCCTACCACACCTCACGTTGTGCGCTTTTCTATTTTTTTTTTTTTAAAATATAGCGTTCATATTTTTAAAAACATGAAGCGGTCAGAAATCAATTCGGACATACATGTTAAGTTTATTACGTTTTATATATACATTGAGTACTTTTTAATACTACTGTTTCCTGGATCTAATTCAACTCTGACCATTACCTACTTTATTATATATATATATATATGTGTGTGTGTGTGTGTTCTTTTTTATAGATACAAATATTTAAGTAAATACTTTGTTTATAATAAACAGTATTAACGACATTTACCGGCCTGAATGTCCGAGAAATTTTCATAGAAAATATGCGTCCTCCGACAGGGATCGAACCTGTACCCTATACGGAACCGTCATATAGCCTGATGTGCTTTACCGATTTAGCCACAGAGGAGCGTTTCAGTTAGCAAGGTCGATTTTACTGCTTTTACAATTTTTTTTTTCATTGAGAATTGTAGTTGAAAAACACACACACACACACACACACATATATATATATATATATATATATATATATATATATATATATATATATATATATATATATATATATATATATATATATATATACGTGAAAGATGCTAATCGAACAGCTTCTTACTACGATTCGCTACTTTGTGAAACCGACTCCCAAGAGGATACTTCCCCGATAACTAAACTCTTTACCTGTTCAATTCTAGAGCTAATCGTTATTTCCCTACATATTTTCATAGATTTTGTCGTTTACTCTGTAACCCTCTACACTGAGTGGCTTTTGAGCCTTTACAGTGGGGGCATTATTCTAACAGAAGGGTAAGAGTCTCTTTAGTGACTTTTCCGTGAGCGGGCTTATGTTCTTCATGTAGCGAGCAGCCGGCTTTAGCTCGGCGTATTCAATCAGACCTTTTACTCAGTCGTTAATAGCAGTCGTCAACACTGTCTTCCAAGGGGAAATTACCAGGCGAAAGATATTTCTGAGCCGCGGATTGTATGTTGACCTTCTTAAGTGTGTTGTAGAGGCAGTCTTTGTAACGTTTGGGCAACTTGTACTGCGGATGTTTGCCTTCTACATGTCTAAGAAAACATTTTCAAAGAAATTCCCGCGCATAACTGTTTAGAGGTGGGGGGACAAATCTTTGAGCAGCGACAACATCAGGTTTAAGAGCAATCGTCTGCGAAAATGGTGGTTCAACAGATTTCGGGGCGACAGGAAATTGAAATTCAGACACATAGATAAATACACCTCGCCTCTCGCATCACTTGTGATGTCTTCCGTTTCACTCCGGCGTCCTTGTCCCTGTAAGGTGACTTTTGAGACCAGTATTCGATTTTCTAGGTATCAGGCATCACTTGTGATGTCTTCCGTCTCTCTTCGGCGTCCATGTTTCCGTAAGCTGACTCTTGATACCAGCATTCGATTTCCTAGATATCAGACATCAGTTGTGATGTCTTCCGTTCCGCTTCAACGCCCTTGTCCCCGTAAGGTGACTCATGAGAAGAGCATTCGATTTCCTAGATATCGGGCATCACTTGTGATGTCTCCGTTTCGCTTCGGTGTCCGTGGTCCCTTAAGATGACTCTTGATATCAGCATTCGATTTCATAGGTATCAGGCATCACTTGTGATGTCTTCCGTTTCTCTTCGGCGTCCATGTTTCCGTAAGCTGACTCTTGAGACCAGCATTCGATTTCCTAGGTACCAGGCATCAGTTGTGATGTCTTTCGTTTCGCTCCGGCGTCCGTGGTCCCTTAAGATGACTCTTGATATCAACATTCGATTTCATAGGTATCAGGCATCACTTGTGATGTCTTCCGTTCCGCTTCAACGCCCTTGTTCCCGTAAGGTGACTCTTGAGACCAGCATTTGATTTCCAAGGTATCAGGAGTCACTTGTGATGTCTTCCGTCTCGCTTCGGCGTCCTTGTCCCCGTAAGATTACTCTTGAGACCAGCATTCCATTTTATATATATATCAGGCATATATGACTGTTAAGCTCTGTATCGTTGATTGGGTTGATTCTATCAGCATGCCCCACAACTCTCCTGTGTACTTCCTCAGTCCAAATGATGATCTGCAACCCTTGCTGTGAACAACGCAGACATTGTCGACAGGTTGACATCGCTGGCATGCTTTTATTTTTTATGTTGGCCTTTCAGATGGTTTACATAACCTGCCTTAAACAACAGCATGCGCTCAGAAGCACCACATTTACGTATAGGATGGCAAATCAGAGTGAGTACCTCTTCGGAGATCAAGCTTGAGACATTCATCCCAGTGTTGCACATCTATGTGCAATGCATTCAGATTCCACAGGTGTACATGCTAATAGATAGATAGATAGATAGATAGATAGATAGATAGATAGATAGATAGATAAACAGAAACAGACAGACAAACAGACAGATAGATAGATAGATAGATAGATAGATATGAATAGACTGAAATAGATAGTGAGAGAGATAGACAGAGAGACAAACAGAAACAGACACACACAAAACAGATAGATAGATAGATAGATAGATAGATAGATAGATAGATAGATAGATAGATAGATAGATATGAATGGAGATAGAGAGGTAGATAGACAGACAGATAGATAAACAGAAACAGACAGATAGATAGATAGATAGATATGAATAGACTGAAATAGATAGTGAGAGAGATAGACAGAGAGACAAACAGAAACAGACAGATAGATAGATAGATAGATAGATAGATAGATAGATAGATAGATAGATAGATAGACAGTACATTTTATTTGTTACTGCACTTAGTGATGTGGCAAGTCTTAATTCTGTACTACACATATTATACTCTGAAAATTTAAGATAAAAAAATTTCAGCTTTTCACTAGGCGTCAGGCTACGTATTCATTGACTCATTTTTTTGCCAAAGCAGTGTGCTAAGGATGTCTCCTTATCATTCTTTTAGTCCAGCACTAGTTCACACATACATAAGGCCATCATAACACAACATATATAAACACTGCATTGTCCAAGAACCGAACAGACACCAACACGTACGTGTGTGTGTGTGTGTGTGTGTGTGAAATTGTGTGAAATTATGTGTGTGCGCGTGTGTGTGTGGTGTGTGTGTGTTTGTGTGTGTGTGTGAAATTATGTGTGTGTGTGTGTGTGTGAAATTGTGCGAAATTATGTGTGTGTGCGTGCGTGTGGTGTGTGTGTGTGTGTGTGAAATCACTGAAATAGCAATCTGTAAACTATCACCAGTGGTTCCGTGAATAAAAATGGCGGAGAATGTTTTTGCCCTACGGGGAAAAAAAACGAAGACATTTTCCCGCCAAAAATCAGCCACAGAAGAAGACTAATCATTTCCCATTTACTGCCGGCAAAATATGTTTCAACACGACAATATTAGACTCGAGGCTATTTAGCGATAGAATATGTTGTGAGTGGCGGGAAGGGGGGGGTGGCTAAAGTGTGCGTGTGTGTAAGAGAGAGAGAGAGAGAGAGAGAGATCGGATGTGTAAGATTCGTGTTGTCACAAACATAATTTTCAGACCGTGTGCAGATATGCTTACTTGACA